CTGGTGATGTATAAGGTCGGGAACTTCTGCTGAACGTCTTGCGCCGCGAGTTCTACTATGATTCGGCGCGACGCGCTAACCACGTCCTGCTCCTCCCCGAGAGTCCACGTCCCGAGCCGTCCCCAGCCCCGCGGAGCGGAGCGACTCGCCATCCGATCGCAGGGCATGGCGTGTCGCCGGGGCCGCCGCTGCGACACGCTGAGCAGGCGTGAAGTTCCGGAGCGTATCCGCCGCTTCCGGGTCAGAAGGCCTCCCTTTTGTGGCCCTTGTGGGCAGCCCAGGGCGATCTCAAAGCCCCCCCCCGTCGCCTGGGCGGCACACCGGGGGTGGGTGGGCGATCTGCGCGGGGCGGGCCCTGCTGGGGCCAGTCGGGACGACCTGCTGGGGCTGTCTGTGTGCAGCCCCCGGCCTTGCCGGCCCTCGACGTGGTCGTGGTTGTCGTCGCTGTGGTCGTGGTCGTGGTCGTGGTCGCGGTCGTGGCCGTGGTCGTGGCCGTGGTCGTGGCCGTGGCCGTGGCCGTGGCCGCGGTCGTGGTCGTGGTCGTCGTGGTCGTCGTGGTCGTCGTCCCCGCGGCCTGCTCGGAGGTCAGCTGCCCGCCTGCACCAGTCCTGCCCGGGCCTTGGCGTCTGGTTGCCCCGAGGAATCACCGACGGGTTCTCCTGCCCCGCGTCAGTGCCCAAGGGCTCCCGCGGGCCGACCTGGCTCGAGGCATGCTGCATGAAGGCGGGGTCGGGAACTGAGCTACGGTCGAGCATCTGGTTAAGAAACCTCCTCCCGAAAAGCCTTGGCATCGCTCGGACGTGTGCATTTTTCCCTCGGCGAGGACCATCGAGGAGCATCCTTCACCATTTGGCGAAAAATCCACGCACGAAACCGAAAAAAACGCAGGGAATGGACGTCCGAGCGATGGCCAGAAGCCGGGCCAGCGTTTCTTGACCAACTTACCGGAAAGCTGGCCCTGTCTCTTGAGCTCGTTCGCCCCTCCAGCGTTCACAGCGCAACTCTGAGCTTTGCCCAGGTCTGTTTCAAGGAGCCTCCCTGAAGCTGGCCCAATTTTGTTCAGTGATCGTCTTCTTGATCACAGGTTCGGCTGCAGTCGGGGAGGGCACCCCAATGCTCTCTTCGTGCTTGCGGAGTGCTCTTGTGCCTCCTGGGGGAGGGCAACCCTCGAATGCTCTTCAGCTCGGCTGGCGGAGGGCCTCATGTTCTTGAAAGATGCTCTTCCGTCCCGCGCTTGTCAGGAGGGGATGCACACATACAGACACAATGAATCGTCGACTCCCCGGAAAATATGGGACAATATGGGAAGTGTGTGTGTGTGTCGGGGAAACGCAAGACCCGAGTAAGCCAGAACTCGGGCTTGCCGACGTCTTTTTGACGAGCGCGTCCTGGATTTTGACGGTCCAGTTTTCGTGGGATGTCTGCAGCGGGAGCTCGCGTCAAATTTCAGATTGGGCCTCGTCATTTTTATGATGGCCCCGTCGGGCCAACCCGAGTCCCCCGTACCCGAGTCTTATGTCTACCCGAGTGTGGGGGGAAGACGAAAATCCAGCAAGTATGTGTGAACATAGGGGGTATTATCCTGGGATCTGTGTGTGTATTTATTTGCGTGCCCCAGGCCTCCTTTACTCCTGCTTTTGAAGGCGCCCCGCGGCGCCGCTGCCGCTGTCGATGACATCGTCGCTCTGCAGGGGCCTGTCCTCCTCCTCCTTGTCCGCCTCCTCCTCCTCCTCCTCCTCCTCTTCCTCCTCCTCCCCCTCCTCCCCTCTACGCCTCCTCCTCCTCCTCCTCCTCCTCCTCCTCCTCCTCCTCCTCCTCCTCCTCCTCCTCCTCCTCCTCCTCCTCCCCCTCCTCCGCCTCCTCTGCTCTTCTGTCCCAGGTCTGGCGGGCGTCTTCCTCGCACGGCGGGGCTGCGCTCCTCTCGCGGCGGCGGGGGCGCCGGAGGCCCCTCTCCGCCCGCGCGGGCGTGCCGGCCAGGGGCCTGCCCTGGGGGCGCCCGGGAGCGGCCCGGGGCCAGGCTCGGGGCAGCTCTGAGCTGCCTCGGTACGCAGGAGGGGAAAAGCACACACAGACACAAGGAATCGTCGATTCCCAGGAGTATATAATTATAGATCGGAGTCTATCTAATGATAGATATCGGAAAATATGGGAATTGGGGGGAACACGAAAACCCTGACCATACATGGACATATGGGGGGATCCTGGGATTTGTGTGTATTCATGTGTGTGTCCTTGGGCCCCTTTAGATACGCCCGCTTCGAAACGCAGCACGCGCCGTGCTTAAAACGCCCGTGCCGATACTTTGCGTGTTGGCTCAGCCTGTTGGTCCACGTTCTGGCGAACGTAATTATCGCGTCAGGCCTAAGTTTTCTCAGTCTGCGTGCTGAGTTCCGCATCGATGCGCCGCGTGTTGCGCCTCGGTGCAGCCAAGGTGCAATCGGGTCGACAGTTGGCGGTTTGCGAGAGCGGCGGTGCGCTCTGACGGAAGGGCCCCCCTCCTCCGCCGCCTCCTCGCCTTCCTTCTCCTCCACCTCCTCTTCCTCCTCCTCTCTTGCGCGCGCGTGTGCCTGGGCGTGTGTGCGCGTGTGCCTCCTCCTCAGCCGCTTCCTCCTCCTTTCTCTATCTTTTCCCCCGGGCGCCCTCCTGGGGAAGGGACGGAGCTGCTTGCAGAGCGTCCTGTGTATGCCGACCCCCTCGGACTCTCCCTCTCCCTCTCCCTCTCCCTCCCTCTACCTTCTCTCTCTTCTCTGCCTGACTGTTCACGAGCCCTCGATTTCCTGCCAGTGCATGTGGGCAGTTCGACTGCGCACAGGTACCGTTGCGTGGGCCATACGGGCGGTTGTGCAGTGCACGCTCGTGCCAGAGTTGATTGTCTTGGGAGGGAGAGGATCGTGGTGCGTCTGTATGCGGCGAGCGTGGCTGGGAGGTGAACGGCCAGTGCGGTACTCTTACGTCATACGATGCAAACGAGGACCCGTATCCGTTTATGTTTGTCGCTATGTGAGTGTCTTCTTCTTTTCGACTCGCAGGGTGTAGGAAGCAGCAAGCAGGATAAACACAATAGTGTAGCCGACGCCACCAATCAGATAGTGTCGTTCCAGCATGTGCTTTCCTAGGCACCTCTTGACCTCTAGGCTCAGGAACCCTCAAACGTCATCCGTTGTGGTTTGACTACGAGCCGCTCGCCCCCAACTGAAACTTGCACGCCGACGCCATCCGAAGCCGAAGTTTCAGGGATCTAGCGTTGTGCACCGCTCCTGCGTGTCCCTCTTGTCGGCGGCAAGCGAGGGGGGGACTTGAGAAGGAGAAGGCCTACTGAGAAGGCTCGGAAGTCCCCTCGACTTCTGAGAAGTTTTCGGAGCCTTCCCCGAAGACAGAAGACAGCTTCTCAGAAGGCGCGAGGGCTTCCGAGAAGCCCACCGCCTCCTGAGAAGGCCTTCCCCTTTTTGCTTTCCCCCCCTCGCTCGCCGCCGATCTTGGGGATTTGGGAGCTGCGCCCGCCTTCTGCTAGGTCGTCCGTGCCCCAGCGGGGGTGCGGGCGGTGCTTGCATTTCAGCGGGGTACCTGGAGCAGTCGTCTGTCTTGGCTGCGCGGTGTACTGGGGTTCTGCACACGGAGCTGGCCCAATGCACGTCTTTGATCAGGGTCTGACAGCGAGGAGGAGGAGGAAGAGGAGGAGGAGGAGGCGGAGGAGGAGGAGGAAGAGTCTGTCAGCGAGGAGGAGGGGGAGGTTGAGGAGGAGGAGGAGGAGGAGGAGGAGGAGGAGGAGGAGGAGGAGGAGCTGGCGAAGATGTCCTGGGAATGCCTCGCCTGGACGGGGTCGTCGCCTTGGCTTCCTGTGCGCCCCTAGCACGGGGATGTGCTCGCGGGGCTGGCCAATGCTTCCCGGGAGAACCTTGCCTGAGTCGTGGCCTCAATTGTATGCACCACAGCTCTCTTACCTTGAGGAGGAGCAGGGGGGGAACTGTAGTGTACGTCTTTCAGGTAAGTTGCATTCACCCTGTGTTCCCACTCGTCCCCTTTCCCCTTCGCCCCCTCCCTCCACCCGCTCTCTACCACAGCATGGGAGATAACAGTGATAGCGTTCTGCTGCCATCCAGCTCCCAAGCGGCTTCGACCGGAGCCCAAGAGGGGGCATGTAGATGTGCTTGCTTACTCTCACACACGTGTTGGTCGCTTGGGAGTGCCGAGAACAGCGGGAGCATCATAAAGGACTCTTGAGGGTAGGCATAGCCTTGAGAGTCCAGTGTGACACATGGGTTCTCTCATCCTTGAAGCGGTGCCTCGTGAAGGTTGGGAGGACAAACCTTCTGGCCCCAGAGCCTGTTGCAGGAACCTTTGTTGGCACGTGGCAGTGGTGGATTGTATGTGTGGCCCGCATGCCCTGAAGCAGCCACCTCTGTTAAAGCATGCAGGCAATACAGGACCATCTGAGTGGCCGGCAGGCTGCGATCGAGACGTCCGTGCCTCGGCGGGCGTGCGTGCAGGGCCGCCCGCACTTCCGCTGAGTTGTGCGACACCTTGGGTTTGACGGGGAGTGGGGCTCCGCCGTACGCCCTGTCGTGCTCCAGCGTGCTCTCATACAGCATGATGCTTGTCGCACCGCATGTTAAGAGGATGGACTGGCATGCCCTAGAGTAGCGTCAGACGCTGGCCCCCGGGCTAAGGGACCTGGCCAACGAGGAGGAGGAGGTGGAGGAGGAGGGAGAAAAGGGGGTGGAACAGCTTACGCGTGGGAGGAGGACGAGGAGGACGAGGACGGGGAAAAGGAGGTGGACGAGCTGGACAGGGGGACAGGAGCATTCCAGAAACGCTACGGGATTTCGTCTCCACATCGCTTGTTGATCAGCACGCGTATTCATCATTTCCAAGTGGCAATGGTCAGTTTGCGTAGGAGAGCCAGAATGCGAGTTTCAAGTATGTAATCGGACCGCAGAACGAATCCTACAAGTGCATATCAGGTGATGGCAGACGGACCCAACAGTGGCGTGTTTTTTCGTAGCCATTCTGGCTCACGCCACTTGGTTGAAGGCCATGGCGACTCGATATTGCTGCATTTGAATCGCAGACCTGCGAGCTTGCCCGGTGAGCAGGCTCACCCAATACGCGCGCAGGATGGCCGTGTCCTCCTCGATCTTGCTTTTGCTGTTCGGATTATTTTTGCTGGGCGGTACAACCGAAGATAGGGGCTCCCTCAAGGCCGATATCAAGCGGCTGAAGACGCAGCTAGCCGACAACGCGAGGGAGATGAGGGACTTGCTGCAGAAGAATCAGGACCTCGTGAAGAGTATGAACCCCTATCAAGAGAGCCCGGAGGTACAGAAGCAGAAGCTCCAAGATGCGGCCGAGGTCTCGCAGAAGCAGTCGAGTGCCCTGCGGCAAGAGGCCGACCTGCAGCAACGTCTGAGGGAAAAGAAGGCATTGTTAAAGAAGTTGGCGAACCGTGAGCAAGAGAAGGCCGAGCTCTGAGGTGGTTATCTTGTCCTCAAAGTTCGCGGAGCACCAGCAGCAACAAGATGTTGGCCACGGGCGGAATTCATAGGCGAACGCTTGAGCCTACCCGCGTTCGTTCTAGCATCGGATGCCACAATATTCGGGATGAGCATGATAGAGTCTTGGACATGCTGTCGTGTTGACGAAGCCAGACAGTCTATCGAGCTGGATCTGTTGTTGCGGCATAGTGTCGCCATGTGGCCAGGCATGGCATGGATATGGCGATTTGAGTACATAAGTGTCTTCGCGTACTTCTTTGTGTGTGCTAGATGAATGCATATGTTGTTTCGTATTTTTCCCAACCATCTTGTGTTGAGTTGTGCACCCTTGACTTTGCCCCCTGTGTGTCCTCATCACTCTCACCATCGTCATCATCGCCATCATCCTCATCGTCATCACCATCAGCATCATCACCATCATCATCATCATCATTATTATCATCATCTGCATCACCACTATCCTCAAACCTCATCAGCATTCTCATACACATCATCATCATCATCATCATCATCATCATCATCATCATCATCATCATCATCATCATCATCATCACCAGTATCATCATTTTTCATCATCATCACCATCTGTTTCATCACCATCTGTTTCATCACCATTCGCATCATCCTCATCAGCATCCTCATACTCATCACCATCAACACCACTACCATCATCATTTTTCATAATCATCATCACCATCAACATCATCGTCGTCGTCGTCGGCGTCGTTGTCGTCATCATCGTAGTCATGTTCACTACCGCCATCATCATCCCCATCATCATCATAAGCATCATTATCACCAGCATCATCATCACCACCATCATCATCCTCATCACCATCACCATCATCACTACCACCATCATCAGCAGCACCATCATCATAATCGTCAGCACCATCACCATCATCACAATCATCATCATCACCATGACCATCAGCATCATCATCATCATCAACGTCATCATCACCATCATCAGCCGCACCATCATCAGCATCATCATCAGCAACATCATCATCATCACCATCATCAGCAGCATTATTACCATTACCGTCGTCAGCATCAACACCAGCATCAGCATCATCATCATCATCATCACCATCGTCGTCGTTATCGTCATCGTCATCACCAGCACCCTTATCAACACCAGCAGCATTACCATCACCATCACCAACATCATCATCATCACCATCATCATCACCATCATCATCACAATAATAATAATCATCATCATCATCATCAGCACCAGCATTATCCGCATCATCATACTCAGCATCACCAGCATCATCACCAGCACCATCATCACCATCATCATCACCATGATCATCATCACCATGATCATCATCACCACCATTATCACCTCCATCATCATAACCATCATCACCATCATCTACATAGTTATCACCACCATCATCATCATCATCGTCATCATCATCATCATCATCATCATCATCATCATCATCATCATCATCATCATCGTCCTTGCTATCATCATCCATCTCCCTCTTCTCTCAACGGGCTGCTTCGGCACACCCCTCACACGTTTCGTGGCGCCATAAGCGGGGCTCCACCTAAGGACCCAGTGGCTGCGTTCGCATGCCGCCCCCTCCCCCCCCGCTCTGGCACACCCCTTACACGTTTCGTGACCCGTCGGTAGCTACACCTAAGGACCACGTGGCCGCGTTCGCATGCAGCCACCCCTTTTCACTTTGGCACGCCCCTCACAGGTTCGTGGCCCCATAAGGGGGCTCCACCTAAGGCCTCAGTGGCTGCGTTCGCATGTCGCCACCCCGCATGTCACGTGCTCCGTGGCCCATAGGGGGCTCCACGGAATGCTCAGTGGCTGCGTCCATATGCCGCCACCCAGCCTTTCTTTGGCACATTTTTCGCACGTTTCGTGGCCACATAGGGAGCTACACCGAAGAACCCAGTGGCTCCGTTCGTATGCAGCTTTTCCCTATGGCACCCACTCACACGATTCGTGGCCCATAGGGAGCATAGGGAGCTCCACCTAATGCCCCAGTGGCTGCGTTCGCGTGCCGACCCCCCGCCGCTTTGGCACACCGCTCACACGTTTTGTGGCCCCACAGGGAGCTCCAACGGAGGCCCCAGTGGCTGCGTTCGCATGCCACCACCCCCGTCTCTTTGGCATACCTTTCACACGTTTCGTGGCCCCATCGGGTGCTCCACCGAATTCCCCAGCGGCTGCGTTCGCATGCCGCCACCCCCTCATTTTGGCACACCCCTCACGCGTTCCGTGGCCCCGTAGGGAGCTCCACCTAAGGCCCCAGTGGCTGCGTTCGCATGCCGCCACGTTCCTACGCTGGCACACCACTCACACGCTTCGTGGCCCATAGGGGGCTCCACCGGAGGCCCCAGTGGCTGCGCCCGCATGTCTTCTCCCGCTTCTCCCGGTGCCTGTCAGCCGCAACGGGTTACATCAGCATGAAACCCGTTTCGTCTGACCTCCGCGCCCCATGTGGGCGGCCCCAGCGGCAGCGCCCGCATGGTGGTCCCGCCCCATTTCGGCGCTTCCTTCGCGCGTTTCGTGGCGACGTAGGAAGCTTCACCGAAGGCGGTTCTCACAACGGCGGTACTCATAGTTGCATCTGTCTGGGTCTTTCGCCAGAATAGTTAATTGCGTTACACTGCGAGAGAAAGGGGGATGAGAAGGCGGACCTGTGACTGACCCCCTGCGGACGAGAGCGGGTGGGCTGCAGAGCAACCACGATGTGCGACTATTGTCGGCTACTGATCGCTGGCTGAAGGCGGCCTCTACCCAGCCTGGAGCACACGCGGATCAGCAGCGGATGCCAAGGGTACAAGCGCCGCCCTCGTACCCACAGGGCCAGCGGCCACAGGAGCTTGGTCGATGCCCTAGCCCTCCCAACTGGGCGGGGCACCAGCGTAAAACAGAACTACTATTGACACAGAACGTCGAAATCTTCGAAGATTCCGTTGACAGCGCTTGGGATGCTCAATCCCAAAGCTGGATGAAACAGGAGAAAGTTGGGGATGAATGCCTTCCGCGTGCCAAGGCATGACGACGCTTGCAGCTACAGTACCTCAGACGAAAGAATCAGTCGTTGAGCTCACGCTTATGCTTATGTACGGGATGTTGCAGTCACGTCGCGACCCGAATTATTCACGGAGGACGGGGAAGTCTCAATGATCTTGGCGAAGGACCCAACCATATGCAGTTGTGAGTGTCGCCAGTGTGAGAACCGCCTTTGGTGGAGCTCCCTACGGGGCCACGAAACGCGCGAAGGAATCGCCGAAATGGGGCGGGACCACCATGCGGGCGCTGCCGCTGGGGCCGCCCGCATGGGGCGCGGAGGTCAGACGACACGGGTTTCATGCTGATATAACCCGTTGCGGCTGACAGGCGCCGGGATATTGGGGAGAAGGCATGCGGGCGCAGCAACTGGCGCCCACGGTGGGGCTCCCTATGGGGCCACGAAGCGTGCGAGGGGTGTGCCAGAGTCAGTGGTGGCGGCATGCGAAAGCAGACACTGAACGGTGCAGCTCCCTATGGGGTCACGAAACGCGTGAAGGGAGTGCCGGAATACTGGGTTGGTGGCATGCGAACGCAGCCACTGGGGCCTTAGGTGGAGCTCCCTACGGGGCCACGAAACGTGTGAGGGGTGTGCCCAAATGAGGGGGTGGCGGCATGCGGACGCAGCCACTGGCGCCTTCAGTGCAGCTGCCTATGAGGCACGAAACGTGTGAGGGGTGTGCCAAGAGGGGGGGGGGGGGGGGGGGGGGGCAGCTGCGAACGCAGCCAATGAGGCCTTTGGTGGGAGCTCCCTGTGTAGGCCACGAAACGTGTGAGGGGTGTGCCAAACAGAGGGGAAGGAGGAGCAGGGGAGGAGGAGGAGAAGGAGGAGGAGGGAGGAGGGAGGAGGAGGAGGAGGAGGAGGAGGAGGAGAAGGAGGAGTCGGAGAAAGAGGAGGCGGAGGAGGAGGAGGAGGAGGAGGCGGAGGAGGAGGAGGAGGGGCAGGAGGAGGAGGAGGAGGAGGAGGAGGAGGAGGACGAGGAGCAGGAGGAGCAGGATAGGAACGTGGGGCGCCGTCTCTTCAAAACGAGGATCCAACTCCACAGGATGGTCAGGAAACTGCACGCTTTGGCATCGCAAGCTCTTGAACTTCAGATATCCTCGCTTCCATGACGATTTCCTCACTTCCGGCTTTCGCGTACTTCTTCCCTCCACGTGACTTCAAACGTATCCTGCTTCGTTTCTTCCAGGGTTGGGTTGGTGGTAGCGAGCACCCCCGCACGCTCCCCTTCCTCGATCACAGAAGCCTACTGAACACGAGTGTTCTGCATGCAGTACTTCTGGGTGCGTCTGCCTTCTCCCACAGTTGCAGAAGGCTTGGGATCGGAGCTGCGTCAGTGGAGGAGCAACTCCATGCTCGAATCAATACGACATCGTGCTGTCACCGAGTCTTGGCGCATCGAGCGCCGAGTGCGCCTCCTCTTTCCTGGCTCTGCTTAAGCTGCCGTCTTCGCCCAGCTCCTCCGTCCACATAACTGACAGCACAGGCGTAAGTTTGGACCCGACTGCCTCTTTTGCCGGAGGTGAGTATCGAGATCACACCACAGGCTGCCTGCTCTCCAAGGCCGAGGAGCGGGCGAAGTCAACGAACAGTAATTCCGTGGGGTGGGCGCAGTCGTCATACATCGTGGTCGTCCCTGAAGCTGTTAAAGTGCCGTCTGCTCTTGGTTGGCTCCGTATGTGCACATTCTCGTGGGTCTGTCTCCATGTCGGGAATCTCGCTCACCTGTGCCCTCATGGGGCCGCCGACGAGTATATATTCTCCGTCTCTTTCAGCTCGGTGGGCTCCTGTCGTGCCAGCCTGGGAACCAATGGTTGCACGACCGGGTCTCCTCGCGCGGGGTTGCTTCTTATTCCCAGCCCTCCTTGGTCGGATTCTCGTGTTTAATGGAACACTGTGGTCGCGTCTCCCTCCTTCCTCCCGTCTCCTTTCTTTCTTTCTTTCTTTCTTTCTTTCTCTCTCTCTCTCATTCTCTCTTTTTCTTTCTTTCTTTCTTTCTTTCTCTCTCTCTCTCTCCTCTTGTCTCGTACTTCCATTGTGCTTGAGTGGAGCTCGGAGTAAATGGGAGGGTGCGGTCTGCGACACTTGCCGCCATTTTCGAGGGCTGCTGGGGGGGGCAGCACAGTGTCGTCATTCCCAGACTCTGATTCGACCTCGCCATGCCTGGGGGGCTGCGAGCTGCGAAACCGTCGCCATTTTCGAGGGCTGCTGGGGGGAGGGGCAGCACAGTGTCGTCATACCCAAACTCAGATTAGACCTCGCCATCCCTGGGGGTTGCGAGCTGCGAAACTGTCGCCGTTTTCGAGGCCTGCTGGGGGG